TAGATTATTCGGTAACAATTTCTTTATTTGCTCACTTTTCTCTCTTACAGTAGCTTTTTTCTTTATATTTACACACTTAATTGAAAAGGTCATGGATTTTTAAAACAATAATCCTTTGGTTGCAAAAGACAGAAAGGCATCCTAATTTCTTCAAGCAGAATGCTTTCTTCTGAGGCCACCCATGGCTGAAAACAGCTGGAAACAAACTGCTGTGGCTCTAAGAGCCAGGGATTCTTATTGCTTTCTCCTGTGCCAAATTGTCTCATTTCATTGTTAGTCTTTTTAGCCAGTGGATTAACTTTATTCTAGTCTTAATTCATAACTAGTGCATTCTTTGGTTTTACTCTGTATATGCTTTATCTATCTCATACTGTTCTTTTATAGCTGGTATATATAGTCACTAGTAACTATTTTAACTTTCAATTTCACTACCCACTATGAATAACTTCATTCTTTATGTATTTCTTAGTTTAAAACAAGAGCAACAAATATGCTTGGCTCATCTATTTGTCCTAGATCTTGTCTAGCAAGATCATTGGTCATCCAAATGGATTAAATTCCTATTGCTATCTAATATGTTTGAGTACAGGACTGGAATGTGGACATGGTCCATTAGAGAATGAATGAGACAATATATTAATTTTTGTGTATAAGAAATGAGCGTTTGACTCAAACTTACTAAACAAAAATAAGAGGGAAAAATCATGTTGGCTCATGCACTCATCAAACACTATATATTTTGTTTTTTTTTTTTTACTAGAAGATTATGGTTTAAATCAAACACTATATTAACTACTGTATTTCAGACATTCTTTTCACATAAAGAAAAATTCAGAGACAGAAAAGATTTCATTTGAATCCAGTTGTTAAAATAATAACATTAGGGGTTTATTATTATCTGCTTTTTTACTTTTCCTGCTGTTTTTATTTCCAGGCACTAAGGATGATCAAAAGTAACATTAATCATGCATTCTACACTTGATCTTAGCAAAAAGCCTGAGAAGTGATATATGAATCATACATTCTATCAATTTGCTAATGCCATGGAGAGAAAACTACCTAGGAAACTGAAGAAAAGTTTCAGGGCTGAGCTGAATTATATGTATTGCAGAACCGATCAATATGACCAGTCTTCTTTAGGTCTAACGTCAGGACACTAAGATCAGTCTAGTCTGAGTCACTCAGGCTAGGAAGAACGAGTGGTGTCTCAAAAAGAAATAGAGGTACTTCTTATAGTTGGGCTATCTATCATTTGTTTAATCTGGAGTTAATTTATTATTCCTCTCCCTGTACTGTGTGCTATGCTCATGTTGGCCAAGAGGATCTCCTATCACTGTAAAGGAAGAAGTGAACCTCTGCCATTATTTTCTGAAGGTCATTATAATTAGACATGGTAACAGAAGTTGGTGAATTCCACACTGCACTTTCTTTCACTCACCTCCAGCTTGTCTTCCTATCTACCAAATATGTCGAACAACAATATGTAGTGACTTTCTTTGTCTTCTTTTGATCAGTTTTTGTTTGAAGTCTAATTTGTCTGATTATAGGATAGCTATACTGCATTTTGGGGGTTCCTGTTGCATGGAATATTGTTTTCCATCCCTATGAGGTTAGCCTATGAGATTTTTGGGGGATGGGGAGGTTATATGTGTTTCTTGTGTACAGCATACTGTTGGACTTTGTTTTTTGATTCATTCTGCCCATCTGTGTCTTTTGATTGGGGAATTGAGACCGTTACATTAAGAGTTACTACTGACAGGGGGGCTGGGGATTTAGCTCAGCGGCATAAGCACCTGCCTTGCAAGCAGGCGGTCGTGAGTTCGATCCCTGGTACCGGTAAAAATGAAAAAGAGTTACTACTGACAGTATTGATTTATTCATGGCATTGCTTATTTTTCTATTACTGATTGCCTATTTTTCCCTTTTGCTTAACTGTTGACCCTAGCTGGTATATTCATTCCAGTAGGTACTTTGTAATTTTTGGATTTATTATCTGTCTCTACATTATCTTTCAGAATTTTTTGTTTATTTTTTTTGCAGCACTGGGGATCAAACTCCAGATCTCTTTTTTTTTTTTTTTTTTTTTTTTGTCTTTTTCCTTTTTATCGGTACCAGGGATCGAACTCATGACAGCCTGCTTGCAAAGCAGGCGCTTATGCCGCTGAGCTAAATCTCCAGCCCCCCAAACTCCAGATCTCACACTTGCCAGGTAGGCACTTATGCTACTGAGCTAAATCCCCTCTTCTTCAGAATTTTTGGAGTGCTGATTGGTGGTCATAAATTTCTTTAGGTGTTCTTTACCATGGAAATATCATTTCTCCATCAAGCTTGAGAGATAGTTTTGTATGATATATCAGCTTGTTTTCCTTTAGAACTTTAAACAATTCACTCTAAGTTTTGTTGGCTTTAAAGTTCAGAGGTCTGCCATAATGTTAGTGGGCTTTTCTTTATAAGTGATTTATTGCTTTTCTGTTGCTTATGATGATTTGTTCTTTCTTTCTTTCTTTTTTTGTACCAGGAATTGAACTCAGGACCTTGTACTTTCCAGGCAGATGCTGTGCTGCTGGACTATATTCCCAGCCCTTATGCTGGATTTCTAAGGTTTTGACTATGATTTGTTGGGGAGAAGTGTTGTTTTCTGATTGTGTCTATTTGGAGTTCTACATGAATCACTCACATGTTTAAATCTTTTCCTTTATTTGAAAAGTTTTGTGCTATTATTTCAATAAACATGTTTTTGCACCATTTGTGCTGCCTTCTGATTTTTCACTAAATTCAATTAATCTCAGATTAATTAAATTTAATTAGTTAATTAAGTCATTTTTGTTGTACTGGGAATCAAAGTCAGGATCAAGCAGATGCTATGTTGCTGAGCTATATCCCCTGCCCTAGATTGGTTTTATATGCATCATTTGGGAGCTATTTGATGCAATTTTCATTCTCTCTCTTTTTTTTTAGTGTCTAATTGATAGATCATCAAAAACAGCTCTGTCTTCTAGTTCTGACACTCTGTCCTTACACTGATCACTTATGCTACTCATCTTTCAATAGAATTTTTAATTAAAAGCTCCTAGTTGGAGTTTTTTATAGAGTCTGATTTTTTTCTATGCTGGCAATTCATGTTTTACCTCATTTTGTTTAAAGCTTTTTAGTAGTGGTTTCTGTAGGCTGGATGTTCATTTTGTTTATTTGGCCCCTTATCTATCTTCTGTGAATTCTTCAAATGCTTTATTGATTGGTTTTGTTATCTCTCCAATATCATTTCAAATAATTTGAATGTGTGGTTTTTGGTTTCCTACCCTTTGATATTCAATGGATCAACTTTGCAAGAGCTGGGAGTTTTTGGAGGCATTTTTCTCACTTATTTTCTCCTATTTCTACTTTTGTTTTTGTATTGAGGCTTGTGAGTTGATTGTAGAGGAAACTTTTTTTTTTCTAATATGGAAACCTCTTCAGTTAAATTTCACTTTTCAGTGTTGTCCTCCTGGCATGGCTAAAGTTTGGCCTTTGCCTTTCCCCAAGGTAAACAATCACCTTATTTACTTGGGAGGTCATGGGATGGTTTCAGTGTACTTGGCCCTGTTCCCAGTTCTCTAGGAATGGACCATAATATTGTTAATGATTCCCAAGCAATCCAGATTTTGGCATCCCAAGAAAACGATTAATAGCAACAGTATGTTACCTTGACTATAGTTATAAAATCAGTACCAATTATAGTGTTAAATACAAACTGAGTATTAACAAATTCCAAAGACCAATAATATACCACCCTTAACCATAGAAAAGAGATCTACATTGATAGCATGAACACTGACAAACCAAATATTGACCTACTGTTGACATACAGTAAATATGTATTAAATATAACTTTACCTCTACTAACACTAGAACAGTATTTGACTCCAAAAGTATAAAGTTAACCAGCTATCTAGAGATTCACAAATCGCAGTAGTTATATTAGTAATGGTAGGTGAGTGAAGACTGAAGAATATAAAAAGCAAAATTTCGGGTATTAGTCAATGGTAAGTGAGAAATCAAGAAAAGTGAGCTGGGGTGTGTCTTATTCAGGAGTAAAAGAAAATTAATGGTGTTAGATGATAGTTTTAGGAAAGAATGAACAACAAAAAATATAAACAGAGTAAAATACAGGAAGTAAAAGATAAGACAAAAAAAGTTAAAGGGAAAGTGAAAATAAGAGAAACTAAAAGGGGAAAAATGGAAGAAAAACATCAAACTCCAAAAAAAATCTCGTGAAAGAAAGATAAAAATAGTAAAATATAGAAATGCAGATTAAATTGTAGCAAAAATTCCTGTTGTAAATGCATGGTTTCTTTTCAAGATCTGCAGTATTTGGGTCCCACAAGTTATGATTTTTCTCTGCTTAGCTTTAGGAATTTTTAGCTTTAGGAGTTTTTGAAGTGCCCTCCCTGCCTGCACCAGAAGTTCCTCTATCTGTTCAACACAGTCTGAGGTTATGATCCAAGCCAAACAATATCCTTGCTCCCACTGCTAGATGGGAAGAATGATTGGCCCTCTGCTCGCTGTTGGCTGTAGACTGCAGAGTGGAGATTCAAGTGAACTGCTGAGTTTACTGTCACCAGCTACAGGGGCTGGTTGCTTTCTTCCTTCCTTGGGCATCGTCTTCCTTTAGGATTAGGTCAGTTGATTAGTCCTTGGCTTTGTTGCCCCATGACAAGGGAATGCAAAATACAGAGCTGACATGGAGTTGGTGGGTGGTCCTTGTGTTGGGGTTGCAGGGAGCACAATATATACATTGCAGCCCAGCTTGCTTGTGCTGGGTCAGGGAACACTGTCCTGTGCAGGCCTCTTTGTTCATGTAATGGGGGTACTGCACATCAGTGTGGGCCTGCTTGTGTCTGTATACATATTTTAAAATGTCATGTCAGCAGCACACATGCCTGCCTGGCAAGTGCAGGGTCCTGAGTTTGATTCCCAGTACCAAAAAAAAAAAAAAAAAAAAAAAAAAAAACATGTCACAATCAATTTCAAACTATTTTTATTAGATCTTGTTTGCAGTACACAATTAATACATTCATCATGGTAGTTAGTATATATACATAATACATCTTAATTTTTTTCCTTTCCCTTCCCTTCTTCCCTGACACTCCATTTCTTGATCCATTTCCCATTTGCAAAACATCTATTTCCCTGTTTTCTATTATCAATCTTGTACTTTTCTCTTTTTTTATACTTTGGGTTCTTCATACAAGTTTATGTGTCTCATTTAACTCATTTAATATTATCTCAAGATTCATCCATTTTTCTACAAATGATTCAAATTTATCATTCTTTATGGCACTGTAGTACTCTATTGTATCTAAACACATTTCTTTTATCCATTCATCTGTTAATGGGTTTATAGGCCACTTTCAAGATTCAGCAATTATGAGTTGTGCTGCTGTAAACATGGGTATGCATGCGTCACTGTAATACGATATCTTTAACTCTTTCAGGAAGATACCTAGGAGAATAGCTAAGCGGAATTTCTATTTTTTTTTTTTTTGTTTGTTTGTTTTCTTTTGGTACCCGGGATGGAACTCACAACTGTGCACTTGCAAGGCAGGTGCTTATGCCACTGAGCTAAATCTCCAGCCACTATTTTTAGTTTTTTAAAGGAACTCCTTATTGATTTCTATAATGGTTGTACTTGTTTGATTCCCACAAACAATGTAGATTTCCTTTTTCCCTGTTGGCCTCCACATTTGTTTTACTTGACTTTTTGGTTTACTTTTCGAAACACAGTCATACTTTATAGTTCATGCTGTCCTTGAACTTCTATCACCATCTTGTGCAATAAAAATAGCCTTTTTGGAACAAGAATTCACCAAGAAGCAAGCCTTCACTGTGAACCAGCACCATACCCAGGCCACCACTGCTGAGCAGACAGCCAGACCCCAGCCCATTCTGACGTGTGGGCTGGGAAACAAGAGGAGGCACCTGCCTCTCCCCACTCCTGTAAGCCACTGGCTGATCCAGAGAAACACAGGCTGTAACGATAGCTATTCAGGTGAAATACAGTTTGATGCTTGTGGTGTTTTGTGTTTCACTGACTTTGCAGGTCTAGGGCTGGTGGTCTCATCATCTATTCAGAGGATAATGGTACATAGTATGGCATCTACTGGGGATCTCCTTCTGAAGTGGTAGCCATTGTTAATTCCCTGTTATCTTATTCTGAAGACTTGTATCATTTCACTGTTTTGTTGAGTTGGGTTTTATTCTGTTTTGCATTGTTTGATTCTGTTATGTTCAATGGCATGGGCAGCTATTTCAAAGATAGCAAGATATATTATGGTAGCCATTTTGGATTTACTATTGTCTTGTTGTGAAGTTCTTTATTCACTGTTTTGTTTTTATTGGTTCTATTCTGTTTTGTTTTGTTGGATTTTTACTATGTCTGAAGTTATCTACAGTTATTTTGAAGACAACAATTATGGTAACGTTGTTGATTTCATACGGTTTTGAAGTCCTGTGTTACACTGATTTGTTTTGATTGGGTTTATTCTGTTTTATTTTGCTTGGTTTTATTCTCTTTAAAATAAAATTTAGATTTTTTTAAAAAGCCTTTTTAACGAACAAGGTCATGCTATATAGTTTGGGCTGCCCTGGAACTCACTATGTAATGCAGGCTGGCTCAAACTCATGACAGTCCTCCTTCCTCAGCTTCCTAAGTACTAGGATTACAGGTGTGCATCATCACACCCAGCTATAACCACCAAAGAATATTGCTATCAACAAAAGAGCTAGTTTTGTAGTAAGTGAAATGTGTTGATGCACTCATGCTCATAGAATTAACTGGTTTTACCACATTTCCCATTACCTGAAATACTGACCTGATGGGATGGAACAATGACCTTTTGCTTTATGTATTAATTACCTGTAACAGCAATTAAAGTATTAAAATATTTCCCTTCATTTATTGTTCTTGGTTTGGTTGGCTCTTTTTTGGGACAGGGTCTCGCTATGTAGTTTGGCTGCTGCCTTTGAACTCACTCTGCAGAGTAGAGCGGCCTCTAATACAGCAATCTTCCTGCCTCAGCATCCACATGCTAGGATTACAGGCATGTGCCACCATGCCTACCTCCATCTATTGTGTTTCTGACATTGCACAGGTACAAGTTTCCAAACTATATAATATTCTCTCTCTGTGAAGAACTTTTCTTTCTTTTTTTTCTCTTTTCTTCTTTTTTTTTATATACCTCTCCAACCTGACTCGAGCTCTAAATCTGCTTTCTCCCAGTTCCCTAAGACTCCAAAAAATCTAGGATTTTTCCCCAAACTGTCCTTGTGTCCAGAGACCTAAGTCCAAACACAGTGCTCAAGCCCAACAAATGTTCTCCCATCTAACCCCATGGGGAGACTGGGTATCTCTAGTGAGGGCCCTCTCCCATTTTCTCTAATGAGAGCCCTCTCCAATTTTCCTGACTTCCAAATATACATGTGGACTTCATTTCCAAACTCCCATTCTGGGTCTAAGACCTAAATATCGAATGCTTCCTGGTACCCCCTCTGCTATGGCATCTTGGAGTTCAAGATCCCTTGATTTGGGTTCTCCAAACATTCAGGACCCACAATACTATGGAGTACTGAATTCAGGCTTCTGGTAAGATCCAAATTATTATAATCTTCAGATTCCTTGTCCCTAAAGTTGCTTCCCAGCTTCTCCAAACACACCATGTCGCAGCTCCAAGCACCCCATGTCACAGCTCTAAACTGCTTCCACTTGATTACCTTGCCTCTTTGCCCATCTAGAACCTTGGCCTCTAGTCCTCAGACTCCAAACCATTTACTTGTTACCTTTAATCTGCCCTCTCTACTCCTTCCTAGAGCCTGTGTCCCCCAAGAACTGTGTTTTTTTTTTTTTTTTGTACCAGGAATTAAATTCAGGACCTCACTCTTGCCGGGCAGGTGCTGCACCACTGAGCTAAATTTTCCCTAAGAACTTTTTAAGTTTTTTTTTTTTTTTTTTTTTTTATCAGTACCAGGGATCGAACTCACGACTGTCTACTTGCAAGGCAGATGCTTATGCCGCAGAGCTAAATCCCCAGCCCCTCTAAGAACTTTTTTAAAAAGGTACCTCTAGTAGAGTAATTCTTCTGGCAATAAATCTGTGTTTTTGTTTCCCTGAGAACACTTTTATTTTTAAAGCACACTTTTATTGGGCATTGCATTTTGGAGTGACTATCATTCTATTGTCTTCATACTCGCATAATTTCTGATATTTAATAAAATCCTAATCTTTTCTTACTTTGTGTCTTTTTTTTTTCCTCAGAATTCTTTTGAGATTTTTGTCTTTCATTTGCAGCTTTTAAAAAAATGATAAGTCCTAAATTGTGAGATTTTGATAATTATCCTGCTTGGCATTCTCTGGGTTTCTTGGATCTATGACTGAGTGGCTGTCACACACTTTGGAAAGCTTTTGTCCAGTATGTATTCAGATATTTATTCAGATAGCAGTATTTTCTAGGATTTGAACTGTGTTGATATTAGAACATTTGATGTTTTTTTCATATCTTTTTTTTTTTTTTATTCATTCTCTTTTTCACCGAGTTTTTATTTTGGATACTTGATATTGACCTAATTTTGAGTTTACTAATTTTTGCTTATCTGTGTTGAGAACATTACTAAACTCATTAAAGGGATTTTTTTCAACTCCATCATTGTTTTTAAAATTTGGATCATGTTGGTCTTCCTTTCACATTCCTCTCAGGAAGAATCTGACTTCCCCAACTGTACTCCACTGTTATTTGTGTGTGTGTGTGTGTGTGTGTGTGTGTGTGTGTTTTATCGGTACTGGGGATCCAACTCATGACTGCCTGCTTGCAAGGAGTGCTTATGCCACTGAGCTAAATTCCCAGCCCCTTCACTGTTATTTGTAAAATCAATTGCTTTTAGCATGAACGTGGTGGGTAAGAAAGAGTACGTTCTGTAGTGTTCAGATTAACTCATAGCTTTAGTCAGGCACTATAAATTTAGGCATTCAGGTATGATGTTCTTTTTTTCCATTTCCTACAGATCTACAACAAGGTTTAGACATATCTCTTTTTCCTTCTCCAGGAATAAAAAATTCTTTTGTCCTACAGCTTTTGTTGTTTTTCCTACTGCAAATTAAGGCTTTTGATTTGCAGCGAGTTAGGAGAGATGTGTTTAGGCAATGTCAGGCATTCCTTTCTCCTCCCTACCACTGTGAGGTTGTCATTCTCAGGATTTTCCTAATCTTCCCTGTGAGAGCGCAGGGTTGTGTTCCTAGAGGACAAGATTGTAAATGTGTGAAATCTCTTACATATCTGTGTTTTGTAGGAGTTTCATACCATCACTATGGCTTATATGTGGTGTTCAGCAATCTGGCAAATAATTATTAGCTGAATTCCCTACTGGAAAATTAGAAGGCATTTAGAAGTATCAGCCCAAGGTAAGAACTGATTAGCTTAGTTTTTTCTTCCTGTCCTCCGATTTCAAGTTTATTGTTTGTCCTTTAATCTTACATATTGTCTTAGCTACTTTCTTGTTACTGCTGGGACAAAATATTCAACACCAAGTGAAATGTGGAAAGGTTTATTTTGGTTCATAGTTTATAGTTTCAATCTATAGCCAGCTCACTCCAAGGCAGGGTGGCAGGCCAAATGGGAATGCGAGGCAGGAAGCAGCAGCAATCAAGAGAGCAGGAAGGAGATACATGTATTTCCAGCCCACACCCACAGTGACCCACCCTCTCTCACCATGCTTTATCTCTCAACATCACCTTTCCCCTCCCCCGCTAGAAACCCATCAGTGGACTAATCTAGTAGCACACTGGCATAATCCAGTCACCCAGTCATCCAGTCAAAGGTTCCATCTATAAACACATGAGGCTTTGCGGAGACATGTAAATATAAACTATAACATATATGCTGAAATAAAGAAAAGGCATGCATTTGTCCATCTTATTTTTCTTATTGTAAGGAGGGAGTGATAGTCTTTTCTCCTCTCTCCTTTCTCCTCTATCCTCTTTCCTCTCTCTTTTTCTCTCTCTGCCTCTCTTTCTTTTCCATTTTGGACTTTTGAGACAGGGTCTTGCTACGTAGTTCAGGCTGGTCTTGAACTCACTATGTAGTCCAGGCTGGCTTCAAGCTCATAGTGATCCTCCTGCCTCAGCCTCCAGTCCTGGAATTACTGGCATGCACCACTATGATTGGCAGAGCCTCTACTTCTGAGCTGAAACTAGAAGCCAAGGAAAGCATTTTGAAGGCTTTTGATCCCAGCTGGGTCTCAACACTTTGCAGGACTGAGGCAATTTCTTCTAGCCTACATTATATATTTTGATTTAGTGGCAAAACTAGGATTCATGAGTCCCAGAATCAAGGACCCTGGTGTATCTTCTTCTAAATACGCTTAATGTTACACTGGTAATTTTTTTCTTCCTATCCCCCAACTTTGGACTCCACTGTCCAAAGGTTAATACCCAAAAGAAGAATGTTCCAACCAGTGTACACACCAATTCTGTTAGACTGAAAATCACCTAGTATTTTGGGGCTCTATATGCTAGTAAACCAACAGGCAAAAGAAAATTACTGTACTGTAGAGAGTAATTAACATTCATAAGGGGAAAGTAGGTTGTTGAAGCATAATGGATATAAAGAAACATGACTGAAATAAGCAATACACTGGGGATTCCTCTTAGTATACCCAGACCCTGTAATAAAAATTAAGGAAAGAAGTGGTGGCACACATTTGTTTTTTATTTTTATTTATTTATTATTTTTTTTGTCTTTTTCCTTTTTATCGGTACCGGGGATTGAACTCATGACGGCCTGCTTGCAAGGCAGGCACTTATGCCGCTGAGCTAAATCCCCAGCCCCAGTGGCACACATTTGTAATGCCAGCACTCTGGGAGGCTGAGACAGAAGGATAGTGAATTAGCATTAACTTGTCTCAAAATAAAAGGCTGGAGATATAGCCTACTGCAAAGCTTCAATCCCAGTATGAAAGAGAGAAAGAAAGAGAAAAGAAGAAAGAAAACAGTACATCAAACCAATAAAGTCAGCAGTGTTAATGGAAAAGACTCTTCAGAAGTACAGGTTTGCACTCGTCCAAAATGATAAGGAAAAAAACAGTTGGGAATTATTAGGTTATCAGTAGAAAAAAGAAGTTTTAAATACCATTTATAATCATGTGATCAAGGGATCACAGTAGGAAATGTTTCTTCCTTACTTTGATATAAATGATTTTTCTTTTTTCCATTTTCACATTTAACTGATAAAAAACATAAAATATAGTAATAAATGGAGAGTGTGTTTCAGTTGAAAGACAAATTAATATCTTCAAAAATGGATATGGTGAATTTATGTCTTGGTTGCAGGAAGGACTAGTGTGTTTTTGGTTGTAAAATATAACTGAATCATGTTGGGCAGAAGGACAGTTTTGATATGTATATAGAAGTTACATATAGCAGAAGGACTATTTTGATATGATACAAGTTACATAAGATGGTATGTGTGAGTGCCAACTTGGCAAAGCATGGACTTTTGTGGAGTTCACTATGTCATCATGGAATTATACTTTCCATTTGAAGAACAGCAGTGAGAGGAAATCCTTCCAATGCATAGGATTTTGAGTGGTACATCTGAATGTGTATTGATTAAATGAAGCAGCGGCATTACCGTATGGATGCAATCAACGCAGTAGCAGAGATGCAAAGGTGACCAGTAGCTGACATCTTGCTCTACTTATACCCAGTTCTCTTTTTTCTCCTCCTCCTCCTCTTCCTCCTCCATCTTTGGTAGTGGGGATTAAACCCAGAGCTTTTACACTAAGCTACATCCTCAGCTCTTTTTAAAAAAATTTTGGGACAGAGTCTCACAAAGTCATCAAATTGCCCAGGTTAGATTCAAACTTTCCCTCTTTCTATCTACATCTCCCAGAATGATGAAATTACAGCTATGTGCTACCATGGCTGCTTCATTTATTTCCTGTTTATACTGCTGACCAACAAAAACCTCAAGTCTAGGGGCTGGGGATTTAGCTCAGCGGCATAAGTGCCTGCCTTGTAAAGCAGGCAGTCGTGAGTTCGATCCCTGGTACCGATAAAAATGAAAAAGACAAAAAAAAAAAAAAAAAAAAAAAAAAAAAACCCTCAAGTCTACTATTAGACTTTGGTTACCATACCCAGATTGCAGCTATATAAGAGGTATGATCCTTAGTCCCTCTTCAATGTCTGGACATCTTAGATTTTCAGAGTATCATGTGACTATTTCATGGTCTTTTACTTCTGAAGTTCCTCCCACAGTTTAATCAATCCTAATTCTTACAACAAATCCTTTGTCCTATAATACTTTTTAGTAATTTTTCTACAGTGACTAAACTCAGATTATACACTTCTCTTATCAGTAAAAGGAATGACAGTGAACAGATGAAAGTAATTACTGTGAGTTTATAAAATTTTCATAAGAAGGGCTTATTGGCTGGGTGATCATCATATGTGCATGGTTATTTTACCTCAGAAAATATTCCTTAATTTAAAGCAGGGATAACAATATCTACTATATATTATTATATTTTTTTGAAAGCACCCAACATAGGGCCCAGCATATAGTAAATCTGTTTTCTTTGTTCCTTCCTTTTTCTGAAACTACTGAATATGCATTTTAGTACTATATACTGTATATAGACTACATTATATATTTACTACATATCTCATATGTATGTGGTATATGAAATTTAGGCATTATATTATCCTTTAGCATCCTAAAGAACTTTGTTCTTTTTCTTTACTTAATTCCTTTCTTCCTCTACAAATATAGGTCTTCCTTTTCTTAGAAAAAAAGTATTAATTTAGGTCATGGATTAGAGATTCCTAACTGATACACCAAGGTACTATGATGTGCTAAATTTCACCAATGTGCCATGTATAGGTTACAGTATGTAGATACACTGATCAGCTCAGGTATTATTGCAATCAGCTGGAGTCTAGGATAGTTGGAGCCCAAGTTATCTTTGTTCTCCCCAGGCCATTAGCAGCCTTCTCATTTACTACTGTGTTCCATACAAAGGCAATATTGTCAATTTTTAACTTATATAATGCTTGGAAATGCTGTAATATTACGAAGGGGAACTGAGGAGATTGATTCATAATTAATTTAACCTTCCAAAGTGATTTTATTAAAACACATTCAATAAGAGCTATTTTATGACTAACCACACTAACCCAGTTAAGCCTCAGAAGTTTGACTGATCTGGAGAGGAGGCAGCGCAAAGTAATACACTGCAGGCCACAAGAGCTTGACTGATCCGGAGGGGAGGGGCCAGCATATGCTGTCCTTGTCTGCAACTCACTAGCACACGGCAGTGTGAAGGGTCATCTAGCCAGCGTGCTTCAGGAGAATTGTAACCAACAAAGAAAGAAACTGGGGCCTCCTGGAAGAAGCAAAAAAGATGGGAAGAGGAAGCAACAACAAAAAGTCCCCAGGTTCCAACCCTGAGAACATGGACTCAGGACAGGAAATACAAAGGAGAATGAGAACAGCAAACATGCAATATCAGACACAGCGGACCTAAAGAGATATATAAAGGACCTAATAGACAAGTTCAAAAGTGAAATATTTAGCCAAATAAAGCAAGATATAAGAAGATTGATAAAAGAAACACTAAGCACCCCTCAAGCAGACACAGACAGAAGGAAGGAACTCAAACAAAGGATAAAACTATTTGGTGAAGAATATTAAAAAAGTATAGAGGGCTGGGGATTTAGCTCAGCAGCATAAGCGCCTGCCTTGCAAGCAGGCAGTCGTGAATTTGATCCCTGGTACCGATAAAAACGAAAAAGACAAAAAAATATATATATAGAATACATGAAGCAGATTCAAAGAGATCACCAGGAAATTAAAAACTCTATGGAAAGATGGCAAATCAGCTTGAAAGAAACAAAGGATAGATTATCCAAACTGGAGGACAATTTTGCAATGTGGGAGTATGAAAGGGAAAACTTTTTAAAAATAACAAGGAAACAAGCAGTAACAATACAAGGGCTAGAAGATGACGAAAGGATCTATAACTTGAGAATAAAGAATGTGAATGAAGAAGCAGGGGTACAAACAAAGGAACTAGGTTCCTTTGGTTATTCACAGAAATAATTAAGGAAAACTTCCCAAACATAGGAAAAGGAAATGATATTCTGATATATGAGACATACAGAACTCCAGTCACCTACAACAAAAACAGAGCTACACCCAGGCATATAATAATCAATACACCAGAAATTCAATATAAGAACAGAATATTGAAAGCTGTTAGAGACAAGAAACAGATAACTTATAGAGGAAGGCCCATCAGAATAACGGCAGACTTCTCAACACAAACCATCAAGTCAAGAAGAACCTGGAGCATATATTCCAAGCCCTGAAAGAAGATAACCTCAAACCCAGATTGATATACCCCGAAAAACTGTCTCTAGAAATTTTTTTTTTCTTTTTTCTGGTACTGGGGATCAAACTCACAACCGCCTGCTTGCAAGGCAGGTGCTTATGCTGCTGAGCTAAATCCCCAGCCCCCTGTCTCTAGAAATTAATGGAGAAACAAGATGCTTCCAAACAACAGAGGAACTTGGGAAACTTGCAACCACCAATCCAACTCTACAGAGAATACTGCAAGGAATTCTAGAGAGAGAGAAAAGCACTAGGATTCTAGGAACAGTGGCAGAGAGGCCTTAATGAATGGAGCAGAAAACAGAATGAAGAACTTAAGCAGACAATTGATGGCAACAAACAGCATAATAGAAATGAGGCAGAGAAGATTTTATTCAAAACTGATACGATTGATAGTATCAAGTCTGAGAGTATAGGCAACTACACTGAAGATGATAAGACTCTACAATACACATTCAGGTTTCATAACTGCTGGTTTTTGAAGTTCTATACTATATACAAAGTTGTGTTTTTATTAATGCTGTTATGTACTGATATATTCAATTATACTATGTCTGATGATATAGCCAATTCTATTGGAGATAACTAGAGACAACACAGGAACCATGGTAGAACTCTGTATAATGGTCTTATATGTTTATTTCATTTCATGTGTTTATAGGAATATGTTTTGTTTTGCCTTGCTTTGTTTTGTTTCTCCCTCTAGTATAGAAAGGATAGAAATACATGTTAAGATTCATGCATGTGTAGAATCTATAAACAGTTTATGAGAACTGATCTTGTGACACATGATGAAATGAACAGATACTTTGAAGAAAAAGAGACACTAAAATACCCAGTGCTGATCCTGGAGTGTCATAATGTGAAACCCAGCAACAGTATTATTCTTTGTTCAGAGTGCTATTAGCCTGCTTGGGTTTATTCAATCTCAACATAATTGAAGATATGTATAACTGCATGTATGTTTAAGTGTATAGGATTGATAACTATATTTCTAAGTTTTTGTTGGATAGCTGAACAGGACTGGTTGCAATCTCACTGTTTGAATCCCCACTTTATATGCTCCACTTTAGTATCTTGAATAACTATTTATAAGAAGACAATCTGTAATCATCAACTAGTGATTTCTTACTGTTTATTTTTTCCTTTGAAATTATGTATTATTTTGGGGGCTGGAGATTTAGCTCAGCGGCATAAGCGCCTGCCTTGCAAGCAGGCAGTCGTGAGTTCGATCCCCGGTACTGATAAAAAGGAAAAAGACAAAAAAAAAAAAAAAAATTAAAAAAAAAAAGGAAATTATGTATTATTTCTACCCATTTTGTTTTGTTTAGTCTTTCTTTAAATTAAATTAAAAAAAAGACACTACAGTACCCAGTGCTGATCACAGAGTGTCATGATGTGAAATCCAGCAATACTATTATTCTTTGTTCAGAATGATTTTAACCTGCTTTAGTTTGTTTAATCTCTACATAAATGAAGATACAGATAACTGCATGTATGTTTAAGTGTATAGGATTGACAACCATGTTACTAAATTTTTGTTGGACAGTTGAACAAAACTGTTTGCAGTCTTGCTGTTTGAATTCCCACTTTACATGTTCCATTTTTGTATCTTGAACAACTATTTGTAAAACGAAAATATGTAAACATCAACTAGTGATTTCTTACTGTTTATTTTTTTCTCTGAATGTATGTATTTCTACCCCCCAAAAAAGAGCTATTTTATGCAAATTATATAGGCTGCTTTGATGCCACTCTGATATAGCTTTTTTACTGAGGCCATGTGATGCTACAGATATTTGAACTCTGCAGTTTTATGCCAGATACGGTATACTCTATCCGGTTATCCTGCATTCTTCTGCTCAATACATAGCAATTAAAAGAAATACTGTTTAACATATACAAAAAGGAAAAAACTATAAGGTTCTGTTGTAAGAAATTCCTCCAATCAGTAAGTATCTGCTGTATATATAATCTTAGTGATCATTTCACTAAAGCTATAAAAGTCTATAATTCTTGATAGTTGAACATTTAATACTTCATTTTCATCCTTTTTATCATATCTATTCTTTTATGTGGTCAAATTTTTTATTAAAATTATTCATTTTATTTTATTAAACTCTTATATGTACATAGTTTAAAAATATAATAGTGCTAAAAGTGTTATAATGAAAATAGCAGTCAGCTCAGCGGCACAATATGAGGCAAGCGTGAGGTTATGAGTTCGATCCCTGGCACCAAAAAAAAAAAGCAGTCTTATGTCCATTCTCTTTCTATCCCATCTTTATCCAAAAGTAATGATTTATAATTTGTTTTTAATAAAATAAGCTGTCCTTAAACTCTTAATCCTTTTGCCTCAGTCTTCTGAATGCTAGGATTATAGACTTGTACTACCATACCCAGACATCTATAATTTTTTGAGACATCTGTAATTTTTAAATTCTATGCACATACTATTACTTTTATATTTACTCATTTACATTTCATCTCCATGAATTGGCTCAGTCTTGGGTCCTTATATATGTGGAAGCACACAATGTTTATCTTTGGTGACTTGTTTCACTCAGCATATTTTTAAGACTCATCCATGTTGTAGCATGTATCAGAATTTCATTTTTATGAATGACAATATTTCATTATATGCATTTATCACATTCCATTTATTCATTCATCTATTAATGGACACTTCAGTTATGCTATGGCCTAAGTACCTCAGAAGCCCTTTTTGGAAACTTAATCCCCAATGCAATAGCATAAAAATAGGAAATGTTTAAGTCATTAGGGTTCTATTCTCATAAAGGGATTAATATAAATCAGGAAAGAATTTGTGGATGGGAGTTTGTTTTTTCTTTTTGAGACAAGTTCTCCCTATACAGTTCCAGCTGGTGGCCTTGGGCTCACTTTGTAGCCCAGGCTAGTTTTGAATTTGCAGCAATCTTCTTGCCTCAACCTCCCTCCTGAGTGCTGGTATTACAGGAGTGTGCCATCACACCCTACTATGGATGGCAATTCTATCTCTTTCACTTTCTTGCCTTTTTCCATAGAATAATGCAATTTAAAAAAAAAACACAGCTCTAGCCAGACACCAACACCTTGATATTAGACTTCCCTGTCTCTAGAACTGTAAGAAATTGCCATGTCCCAATCAGCTCTAAGGGTGAGAATGGGGAGAGAATGAAGGAAAAAAGACAAGAGTCAGAATACAGAAAAAAGGCCTGATCGAGTTCTCTCTCTTGATATGTGAAGTAAGGAAGGGAGGAAGAGGAAGCAGGAAGAAGGAGGAGGGAAAAGGAGGCAGGGCCCCAAGGGCTGGAGCATGTCTACTTATATACCAAGAGGTTGGACATCATGTGAAGCCCCTCTACCAAGCAGCTTCTCCACAGGGCGTCTCTGGCCCCAGTGTCCTTGAGCCTAGAGCAGTTTATTCACATGACTTGCCTCAGGCGCTCTGTGTTCTTGAGGCCATAGCTGCTTATTCAGGTGACTTGCCTCAGGCACTCTGTGTTCTTGAGGCTGACCTTGCTCCAGCCTGCACAGCTTTGACTGCTCCCCTGCAAGAAACAAATGTCTTTTCTTTATAAATTATCAAGGCTGTGATATTGTTACAGCAAAGTAAAACAAGACTAAAACAGCCTATTTCTGTCCTTTAGATACAGCAAGTATTGTTATGAATACTGGTGTAGAAGTAACTATTTGAGCTTCTGCTTTCAATTCTTTTAGGTATTTATCTAGGAGTGGAATTAATAGATCATCCTCACCAACACTTAGTATTTTTTTCTTTTCTCTTTTTAAATTTTGATGTTAGCGCTGTAAAAGGCTGTGAAGTGTAAGTCTTTGTGGTTTTGATGTTCATTTGCCTAATGACTGTGACTGCACGGTATGTAAATTTGGCTGGATTAAAAAATGGCTCACAAATCAGTAAAGCACACTTCCACCGTTTTGTGGGGGTGTTTCCAGAGATGACTGGCAGTAGGCCAGTAACTGGAGGGGAAAGACTGATTCTGGTTGTGAGTGGCATCAACCAATAGACTTGTAGTCTAGATGAAATAAAAGGGTAAGAGGACAGAAATGGGCACTTTGGGATTTTTGTTTGGTTTTTGAGACAGAGTCTCACTATGTAGGTTAGTTTGTTCTTGAACTCACAGTGATCCTTCCGCCTCAGACTCCTGAGTGCCTGGAATTACAGGTGTGTGCCACCACACCCAATCTAGGCATTTTTTGAAAAGCTCCAGTCCGCTTGCACTGGTGCCTCTTTTACTGCCATTGCTTGTGTCAGTCTTCTGTTTCTTTAGCTTTCCAATATCAGCAATATTCTTTTGACCTTAGACTGGTGCTGCATCCTTGATCCCTCCTGTGCTATAGCTTCCATCATTTTGAGCACCTACTAAATACTCCAACTCCAACCCTCATGAATAACAAATCATAATGCTGACCATCTTTCCATGGACTTACTATTTGTGAATCTTTGGAAATGTGTCCATTCAAGTACATTTTCCATGGTTGAATGGATGTTGTTTTTAAATTGTAGGAATATTTTATGTACTTTGGATATAATTCAGATTTTGTTCCATTTTGTAGGTTATCCTTTTACTCTTTTGACAGGGTTCTTTGTTGCACAAAAATTTTTAATGTTGATGAATTCCAGCTTTTCTTTTGTTGCTGTACATTTGATATTGCAGCTAAGAAATCATTGGAAAGTATAGGAAACTATTCAGTAAGTCATATAATTCCTAGATAGCTCTCCTCCATGATGTTCAATTTTGTTTAACTTCATTGTGCAATATCACTTGGAATTATCAATACAAATCTTAAGGCATCTTTAGATCTTAAAAAAAAAAAACAGTATCTCTATGTCATTGTTCACACTGTAATAGGGCTACATGATTACTCTCTCTGAAAATATAAAATAATTTCACCAATTATTATCATATTGAGATTTTATTTTTTTTTGTTCCTTCATTTTTTGGGCTGAGAATTGAACCCAGGCCTTTGCATTGAGCTACCTTGTCAGTCCTTTTATTTTTATTCTGAGAAAAGTTATTGCTAAGGTGCCCAGGATGGTTTGAATTTGTAATCCTTTAGCCCTCAGTCGCCCAGAGTGCAAGGATTATGGGTACAGGCCACCATGCCTGGTTGAGATTTTCATAATTTATAATATAATAGATTCAAATAGTATATCTCTCAAATTTTGTTCAAATGTTTATTTTGTTTTGTTATTTTAAAAAAGCAGTAATGTGTGTACTGTTGTAATAACTGCCCATATGCTTTTTTGTGTGCAAAAATGATGTCTATTAATCAAAAAAATTAATTTGCCAATATGAGGTTGTGCATATTTAAGCTGATTTGTTATAATATATATTTTATGGGATTACTTTTCTCCACTTCTCATTTTGATTAGTGATTAATTTTCAACTAAATAAAAATTGTATAGGGCTGGTAGTATAGCTCTGTACTCTGTGTAGTACATTCACCATATATTTTGATTATGTCAAATACTATAACAAATTTAAATATATTTTTACTAGAAAAAGAAATTTAACATAAAGATATCACAATTTAAATTATTTTTATGTTTCAAAAAATGTACTTTCTTACCAATTATTTAAAATATAGCTGAATGGGGAAATATAAAGTTGAATTAACCTTTTATAATCAACACTATTTAAATATAAAGTATATAACTAATTTTTTTTTTGTATTTTTACCGGTACCAGGGATCGAACTCATGACTGCCTGCTTGTAAGGCAGGCACTTATGCTGCTGAGCTAAATCCCTAACCCCAAATTTTAAATAATTTAAATTTAAAGTTATATTTAATAGTCTTATGAAATATTTTCTTTAAAATAAAATTACAGTTCTATATTCAGTGTCATTTAGTTGCCAATTTGAAAACTGAACATTATATATCAACATTTACATCTTTAATATACAAATATGAGTAACAAATTATTTAATGTTTGAAAAATTTTTTCCAAGAGCCATATACAAATGTTAGGAATACTGTAGTAACTTCTGAGTACCTTCAGAACTACAAACAAATATGCATAAGGCAAGAAAATATGTACTTAATATTACTGTGAAATGATTTTTTTCCAAATCCATTTTATTTCGAAGAGAAAAAAAAGAAAATAAAACAAAATAGGGCTGGGGGTTTAGCTCAGTGGCATACATACCTGCTTGGCAAACACAAGGTCGTGAGTTTAACCACTGGTACCAAAAAAAAAAATTTCAAAACACGTCAACCGGTGGAAACGATGGTATATGCATTGTGCATTGTCCTCCCCAACTCATTCACTCAGACATCTACATGCAATTGTCTGAACAGTACCAGTGCAAATCTTTCTCTTCAGTGACCTCAGAGAAATCAGTAGTATTAACTATCTTTTAACTATCATTTTTTATACACATATATATACATATACATAATGTTGTTTCTTTCAGTTGTCACATTAGTGAGAGAACATGATGTCTACATGTGTGCCTGATTTATGTGAAATGATTTTGCTGTGTAAAATCTATTGTATCTCTGCTAATACAGAGGAAGAATATGATAAATGATTTGCCTTTCCTCTCACCTAAGTCATTCTGCTGCTCAAATCTTTATTCTCTGATCTATGTGTCTCATTCCACTGACCTTCACAGCGTTCTGATAGTTGCCTTTTGTTTTGAGGACACAGAGCAGGAAACATGAAGCATTCCCTGGGGAAATGTATATAGAAGACTAATATAAGGGGAGCAGATGTTTAAGGTCTCAATTTCCATTATGATAAGGCTGAGAGATTCTGAGCAAACAGAAGAACCCATATGTTCTTTTAAATATGTGTCTATTTAAAATTTATTAGAGAATGTTAATATTATATGACACCTATGTTTACAATATAGAGGGGCCCATACCATTTCTATGTTTATGGTATGGAGGGGCCAGGGCAGAGGCTCCACTTGCCCAGGTATAATTGCAATGCGAAGTTTTCCTTTTTAATGCTAATTCAATATTTTGTAATAGGAACCACTTCATCCATGAATGTGGCCTATTGTTGGAAGATGAAAATGATGGATTTTCTTTTCTCTGATGATTTCCTATATTTGTTTTCTATTGCTTAGTAACACTTAACTAAAAGTTTAGTAACAGACTAATTTTCCTCATGGTTTTTTAAAAATTTTATAGTTTTATAGTTTTTGTGGGTCAACAGACTGGGCCTGACAGATGGATCCTTGGCTCAGGGTCTCAGAAGGCTGTGATTAAGGTATTAGTTGATGTCTCAGCGTGTTATGTGCTATTGTAATAGAATACCCAAGACTGGGAAATTAATAAATAGAAGACATTTATTTTTTATGTAAGTCCTGGAGGCTGGGAATTCAAAGATCAAGGGGTTAGCATCTGATGATGACCTATGTCTTGGTTACTTTTCTCTTGTTGCTGAAACAAAACATTTAACACCCAAAGTTAAGGAAGAACAAGTGTACTTACTTCACTGGCTATGGAGGTTTTAGTCCATACTCAGCTGGCTCTAAGGCAGGGTATCATGGCAGAAGAACAACTGTTCATTGAGGCAGAAGACAGCAAAAGTAACAAGACCCAAAAGAAAGGAGTGTCTTATATTGTATGTAGGCTACACCCACTTGGGTGTAGTACTCACCCCATAATCCCAGTATTGGACTATGAGTCATTCACAAACTGTAGAAGCCCATTTCTTTGACTGCACAAGGCTTTTGGAGACATCCAGACTCAAGCCATAACAACCTTCTGGGTGGTTAACATGGTAGAAGGCGTCACATGGCTACAAGAGAAAACAGGGCTGAACTTTGAACCCATTTTTTTTTTTTTTGTCTTTTTCATTTTTATCCATACCGGGGATCAAACTCACAACTGCCTGCTTGCAAGGCAGGTACTTATGCCGCTGAGCTAAATCCCCAGCCCCTTGAACTCATTTTTATCCACTCTTTAATAAACCCACTCCTGAGATAATTATATTAATTTATCCACAAGCTCTATTTTCTTTCTAAAATTTTTTTAATAATCTGCATTTGCTTCTGAAGTCTTGACAGGTAAAGCATCTGCTTCCATACTCATTTAGTTTGTTGGCAGAATTTATTTCATTAGTATTGACTGAGAGACTTGATGGTTTTGCTGGCAATTGGTGATGATCTATTGTCAGGTCTCAGATGTTCGTTGAAGCCAACAGGTCACCTGTTCCCATTTGGGCTTCTTCAACATGCTGTTTTATTTTTACTTTTCTTCTCTTTTTTCCTTTCATTGTGTATGTGTTTGTGTGGTACTGATTATTAAACTCAATGTCTCTGCATTAAGCTACATCCTCAGTCCTTTTTAAAATTTAATTTAATTTTTTATTTATTTTTCTTTTTGAGACAGGGTTTCATTATGCAGTTCAGGCTGGCCTTGAGCTCATTTTGTAGTCCAGGTTGGCTTCGAACTTGCAGTGATTCTCCTGCTTCAACTTCCTGAGTACTGGGATTTTATTTCTTAAGATAGGCTTTTGATACATCACTAAATTGACCAGCTTGAAATCAATCTTGTGATCCTTCTGCCTGAACCATCCAGCATTCTGGGATTAACAATCATGGGCCACTATGTCTAGTTAACATGGTTGCTTTTTTAAAATTTTGGTACCAGGAGTTGAACTCAGGGACCTTGCACTTGCCAGGCAGGCCCCGTGCCATTGAGCTGTATCCTTGACCCTCACAATGTCTCACTATGCAGGTTAGGCTGGCCTTCAACTCACTTTGTAGCCTTGCTGGCCTTGAACTTGCAGCAGTCCTTCTGCTTCAGCCTCCTGAGCTCTGGGATTACAGATATGCACCACCACATCTGGCTCATGGCTATTTTCTTAATCAAAGCACCAAGGTCTGGTTCTTTTAGCAGATTAAGTCTAGTTTATCAAAGGTATCTTTTTTTGTTAATTCAAAATTACTTAAATGTAATTACATCTGCAAAATCGTTTTGCCACATTCCACTGGCTAGAAGCAAATTATGAATTTTACTGAGCAACTATTTATAATTCACTGAGCATTTATATTCCATATCCTTTACTAAATACTTTATGGAATTTAACAACTAGGCTATATAAATTTAATTCTGTTATTTCCAGACTTAAAGTTTTTTTTGTGTGTGTCTTCACTGTGGCAAGACAAAGTCCAGCTCTTAGGCAAGAAGCTTATTAAATCAATTCTCATTTCTTAGAGAGCTCATCTCTTAGAGATGACTCCAAGTCTGGACTGGGTGCTACTCCTTTATTTCAAATGAAGTTGTAAAGCCTAAATTATAAACATGTTTTAACCCATCTCTTACAAATACTTTATTTTTGTTTCTTTCCCCAAGAGTATGTGTATTTGTTATTATTATTTTTTTTGGTACCAGGGATCGAACTCATGACTGCGCACTTGCAAGGCAGGCACTTATGCCGCTGAGCTAAATCCCCAGCCCCTTTATTATTATTTTTTGGGAGCCTGAGTTTTTCTTTGTTGACCTTGAACTCATGATCCTTCTGCCTCAGTCTTTCTTTCTTTCTTCTTTTTTTTTTTTTGTCTTTTTGAGACAGGGTCTCACTGTGCAGTTCAGGCTGGCCTTGAGCTCACTTTGTAGCCCAGGCTGGTCTCCTCCCACCTCAGCCTCCCACCTCAGCCTTCCCAGTGCTGGGATTATAGGCGTGAGCCACCACTCCCGGCTCTGCCTAAGCCTTTCAAGTAGCTGGGATAACAGGTACATGCTTTACATCCTGGCTAAGATCATCTATTTCTTCTCTCTCTCTCTTTCTTTCTTTTTCTTTTTCTTTTCTTTTTTTTTTTTTTTTTTTTTTTTTAAGACAGGGCTTTACTATGTATTTCAGATAAGTCTTGAACTCATTCTGTAGCCAAGGATGGCCGGGAACTTGCAGGGATCCTCTGGCCTTAGCCTCCCAAGTACTGGGATTACACGTGTGAGCCACCATAGCCGGCACTAATATATATTTCTTGAGGGCAGGCACCTAACATCATTTTGTAACACTCATTTCTTTAAAACAAACAAATAACAACAACAACAAAACAAACGGATCACAGCATGTTGTCCCACGTCTGTAATCACAGCAGTTGGGAGGTTGAGGCAGGAGGACTTCGCGTTTGAGACCAGCCTGGGCTACATGTACATTCAAGGCCAGCCTCAATTACAATGAGACCGTGTCTCAAAGCAAACAAACAAACAAACACATTTGAGAGAAATTACACTAAAGGGTTAAATTTTAAGCCCTAATGTTATTGTTCCTTTTCGGTTTTCAAAACAGATTTATTCTATCCTGTAGCCTTCTCAAGTGACTTAACTACAGTTAATAATACCATTGTAGAGATGAGAAAACTGAGTAACACAGTTACTCCAAGAACAAACAATAAGCGCACTATCTGGATTTCAATCTAGGTCTCCCAACCAATAATGTAGCGACATGGACTATAATGTAGCAACGTGGACTCACTGCACTCACAACCCCGTAAACTGTAAGGGTTTGGATACAACTTCTGTATATGTGCAGCGAAAGCACATGGACACAACTTCTGGTGTGTGCGCTTGACTTAAAATACATCTGTGACAAAACACTCTTAAAAAATGTTTCCTCCATTCCGTCAGTATTAATGTAGTTGAAGTACATTTTGTAAATTTAAAAAAGGAAACTAAGTAAGCATATTTCAGTCTTTTAAAAAATCTCCGCTCTTTAATTGCCACCTATTTCTTTTCTCAAACCTCACAGAGGGCGCTCATAAAAGTGCTACTCACTGATTGAGGAAGCTCCTCTCAACAAACACCTCAGAATGCAACCACACCGCGCAGCGCCACCACCTCAGACAGCGTTCTCTTTTCTACGGCAGGGGGTGGGGCCAAAGTGCTTCATTCAAATAAAAAACAGGAGATTTGCATGAGGAACGGCCAATCTGTACTCTCATTGGTTGATAACGCAGTGGGCGTGACACATATTACGCCCACGGAGCTCCGCCCACGTAATTTGCATAACGGCCTCGCGCGTGCAAGGGAGAAGCGGGTTTGTTTTTGAATCTGCGGAGGCGGCGGCAGTGGCAGCGGCGGTACGGCGACTGAAGCGCGCTAGACTGAGGCGGCAGCGTTGGGGACGGCTGCGCAGGACGGCCTGTAGGAAGGAACTTGGGTCCCCTTCCCTCCTCTCCCGCCCCAAAAGGTATATGTGAATCCCAGGGGCTATTCTAATCACATTTTGTGAAATTACTATTGTATTTCTGAAGAGTCAAGACCGCATTATGGCGGCTGCGGGAATTGTGTCTGCGCGTGCGCGGTTGCGGATCTGCGGGCGGCGCTGCATGGGAGCACGTGATCTTGCGGGGTCGGGCTCTAGCTGCAGTTGTGCAGCTGGCGGGCGGTGGCTGCGCAAGCGCAATATTCATTTTCAAGATCTAATGTTCTTGGACGCCATTTGGGTTCTAGATTTAATTTTCTTCAGACTTGAGGGGTTTCGTTTTGTTACCTTCTAATTCTCATATTTTTCAAAGAAAAATATTTATCTTGTATTCCTGTGCCAACCTTAAACTCTTTTCCTTGATTGTCCGAAAAGTTGTAGACTTAATTTTCTGTAACAATTGCCACTTGTGGTTCTCGGTTAGGATTTCACTTTTAAACTGTAGCTGAATTGAAGTTTATATTTAGGGAGGTAAAGGTCGGCACCTAGTGGTGTTATCACGGGAAGTGCATTTATTTGAGTTGCATGTTTGCAAATGCAATTTTAACCCTATTTTTACCAGTTTTGTCGTGTGGAATATTAGTATGTGGAATGTTTACATATAGAAATAATTTTAGTTTTGGAAAATGTTGGCAAGTAGTGAAGAAATACTTGAGGTAGTTTAAAGTGAAATTAAATTTTCTTAAGTATTTTTAAAAAAATATTTGATCCTTAGTCGACTTAGTTATAATTTTAATCAATTTGTATGCTGAGTATTTGATTTTCGTTTTCATTTCTTTAATTAACTTGTCTATTCTTTAGATAATTATTATTTCAAAAACAATCAGCCTACTTTGTTATCTTTTTTTGCAGTGATAATGTAAGTTGTAATACTTGGTATTTTTTTTGTGTGTGTGCAAAGGATTTCCATTTACACTCAGGCCTTTATGAATCAAAACAACTATGAGTTTAAAGATCCTTTTGATTTTTAAAAATGTGTGTGATATACAATTGACTTTTTTTCTATTGTTAACTATGCTCCTGAGTTCAGCTTAAGGCAATTGTGGCACTCATTATTTTACTTAAAATAGTATGTTACTATATTTAAATCTTACGTAAGACACCTGGGGAAAGTTATGTAAAATTTGATATTATTCTTCCATTGTGCAAATTATTAGACTAAAAACTTGTAAAATTTTATCTGTGGTTCTTACGTATAAAAATTGGTTGATTATGTAACAAGTTTGATTCAGTCTACTGTCAAGTGAAGTGACTGTTGCTTTATAATTTTGCTTTTTTTGGATTGTCTTTATTGTCTATAAAATAAATAGCATTAGTATTAACTAGATATAATTGAAAGGAGTACTTTTTGTTGATGCATTTTTAAATGGTGTCACATATTGAGATGGAATGTAGTGATAGGAAAGATTCTTCTTTTTTCTTTAGAGAAGCTTAATTTGTCCTGATATAATTTCTGGACTTCTGCTGTCTTCAGTACTGAGTGAAAGCGGTTGTGCAATTTTGATCCCTTTATGCTTCTGAGGTAGTTTTTTTTAAAAGTCTCATTCCCCAGAGTCATCATGCTTTTCAGCTCATTTGGAGTTGAAAATATGCTGTATTTTGTGTGTCTCTGTGCATGTATACAAAGAAAATAACTGATCTTAGAGCAAGGTATGTTTTTCACTTCAAAAGGGGAAAATACTTCATTTTATATATTTAAGCTATATTTTCATTTGAATATATAGATAATTGTGTTTTGGGTTAGTATCTAAGGTCTTAAGTGCCACTTGAATAGTATAATACATAATATAAATATTGATAGAAAACTGCTGTCATGAAGATACATAAAACTACGTATAATGACGATTAAACATCAATTAGTTTTTTAGTACTCTATCAATAACAAACGTATTTTGAAATTTTCATTTGAGATTGTTACAGTATTTTGACACATGCAATGTATGAAAATATTAAGACTAGCTTACTTGAGAATGAGCAAATTATTGAAATTCCTTAAACTTTTTAAGAGTTCTTGTAACTTTAGCTTGCAAAAAAAAATTCAGCTTGCAAAAGAAACCCAGGTTTGAATGATTAAACCGTAACACATTAAAATTGTATTACCATTTGAATAAGTACATATGATTACACACACACACACACACACACACACACACAAAGAGCTGTCTGTTTTTAGCTGGATTTTATGTCGTAGTGCAGGCTAGCCTCAAAATCAATCTTCCTGTCTCAGCCTCCCAAGGACTGTGATTACAATGTGCATTACCATTCCTGGCTTTAAATACTTAATTTTTCTATGGTAGGGCTTTAGGAAAATGTTAAAAATTAATTAGCCTCATTTGGAAAAAGACCTATTCGGGTGATTTTTGTGACTTTCTTCATGGTTGATCAATCCATAAAGGCTTATTTATTTCTTAGTTTTTCATTGGGACTGTAATTCCTTTTTTCCCCCCAATACTGGGATCAAACCAAGGCATATACACATGCTAACCACTTAACATACTCCCATTTTGTTATTCTTTTAAAATGTTTTCAATGCTTGCCTGATACTATGCTGGAACAATATCCCTAATTATCAAGTATTCTTTTCAAGTATGTTTTTGAGTGTATTATTTCTGTATTATAAATAATGTTGTAGTGACCATTTTCTTCTTGATCATGTTCTATAACTTAAGACTTTTTGAGATTACTGTTTTAAAGTGATTTAAATTTACAGATTGTTTTCTTACACCACCATCAACTAGCTGGTTGAAAAATACAGTAGTAGCTCAGTAACTTCGTTGAGTAATAAAGTTGATAAATATTTTCCGATATTTTGTATATATTTTTCTCATTTCTTGTCTTTTGGACAGAGAAAATGTATGATGAACTAAATGCTGCTTTATTCCATAGGTTTTTTTCTAGAACTGTTTTTTTAAGAAATTTTAATGAACTTTAAATTTTTTGTTTACATGGACATATAGATATATTTTCATATATTGTATATGAAGAATGATTGTTAAAATTTATTTTTATAAGTGTCTGCCATTGATCCGTCTCTTATTTCTTGGTTGCTTTTCTTGATGATAATTTATTTACTGAGTTCATTTACTAGCAAGATTTAATGTAGGGTTTATTGACCGCTAGGAGTTCATACTGATAAGCTTAACAAGTTTCACATATCATTTGATATATGCAATTTTATGGGAGTGTGCAAAAATATTTTTCTGTAAAAAAAAATGATGACTTTTATTAGCTTCTCAAAGCAATATGGCTTTCTTATAGTAGTACTACAATCTTTTATTTGCTGTAGAACTATATATAGAGTATATGTTTCATAATTTTCTCAGCTAATTTTTTTTCAACTAATTTAGTTTTGTAGATGTATGTTAAATTCATTTGGTTAATTTTTTAAAAAGCCAATTAATGGTTTTGCTTAAACTTATACTAAATCTAAATTGCAGTGAATTTTTATTAAATTTTTTCTCTATTCATGAATATGGTACACTTCCTATGGACTCCCAAAACGTACTACACTGTTTTTAGGAATACTGGGAAAATTTGTGATACTTATAGCAAACTATTTAAACGTGAAAATTAGTGGATTGTTGAAGAAATCCAGGAAATAAAGACAATTTAGATAGTAAAATACTGGCTTTATGAATATTAAGTGTTAAGATATTATTGATTTCTTAAGCATTCTATCCTTTGTAATGAAAAATTCATATCACTAGATGTTTTTCAAGCAAATCTGCTTAAAAATTTGCATGTATTGCTTCTTTATGTGAGTTTTGGCCACAGTTGAGAACTTTTCCAGATTCTGGTGAATTATGATTATTTGGTTTTTCAAACATATGACACATGAGATGCAGCAAATTAGGGATAAGAGTATATGCAGGTAGGGATGAGAATGATGGCTGTCATCTTGATATTTAGGAAGATCATATTTCAAGTACTTGAAGCAAGAGTTTATAAACTTAGTTATAAACTTAGTTAAATGAGTTTATAAACTCATTTAGTATTTTGAGAGCTGAATATAGAATGTTTATTGTAGTGAGTAATGGTCTTAATGATTATGAACCATAGAGAATAATTATATATAACCTTTGAGAAGGCAGAGTAGGGTATAGTTTAGAGTGTCTTCTATTTTTTGTTTTGAGGCCCATGCAAAATTCATACCTTGCAAACTTGATTTTTGAAGGAAGTCACATGTAGAAAGTTCAAGGCCTTTGATTTTTTTTTTTTTTTTTTGAGATGGGGTCTTGCTATGCAGTTCAGGCTGACCTTGAGCTCACTTTGTAGCCCAGGCTGGTGGTAAAGATCCTCCCACCTCAGCCTCTGGAGTGCTGGGATTACAGGCATAAATGAATGAATACATGAATGAATGGAACCAGGGTTAGGGTTACCAGTACTTTGGGATACTTTCACTTTTGAATATTGACTGGTTGTTATTTTGTCTTTAAGAGAATGATTTGTGCATTTCTTTGTCCACGTCTCAAAAAAAAAAAAAAAAAAAAAAAAGAGCAAGGGAAGATTTAAGGGTACAAATAGTGTTTTCCTGAGTCTTTGTAATTGGACCTATATAAACATGAAAGTCTGGAAAATAGAAGATGATTTACTAACTGCCATTGGAGATATTATTCATTGATGCTTGCAGTTTTTTATTGCTCAGACTATAAAAG